TGCTTTGCTTGAGGTTTCAAGCAGACGCTGAGTAACCACCTTGCTAGGGGTGTCCCCGCTCTGGATCCTCTGCTGAGACCAGGAAGATAGTTTAGATGCCCTCCATAGTCCTCTCTGATGAAACAACGCACCTCTGGCTTTTTAAAGCACCCATTTGTTATTCATTCAGGATTAAAACCTTCCCGAACTTGCTTTCTAAAAACAGGAGCACTGAGTTTGAATATGTGTAAGAAAAGCATATAGTAGCTTATCTGACAGGGAGCTAATCAGAACAGCGTTGTGGCCAGTTCACTTGAGGTCTGACTTTTTAGGGTTGGCAGCCAATATTTGGATTCTTAGACCACCAAAGCACCCCCCCTTGCCCAAAGCCCTGCCTGTGGGTCTCTCCGCCTGACGTCACTTAAGAACTTCTGGACAGCTCAGTGGCTTAGGGAGCCAGAGGCTGGGAGTTCGGCTGGGCAGCTCAGTGGTTTAGGGAGCCAGAGGCTGTGAGTTCAAATCCCCCCCACAGGGCCTCCCTGACGGAGGCTGAGCTTTTGATGATCCCAGAGGGTCCCTTCCATTTCTGCAGCTCTAAGAAGATGGAGGCTGAGCTTTTGATGATTCCAGAGAGTCCCTTCCATTTCTGCAGCTCTAAGAAGATTCGAAGATGATTTGTCTATAACTGATTTTTGCTGCTTCATTTGCTTCTCCGCCTGTCTGCCTCCCTGTGCATCTCTCCGTAATGTTTTTAATCCGAAGCAGGATGGCTCGGGAGGGGTTTTGCCTTGAGCTCAGCAGGAGTCGGTTTTGAGCGAACCGGCGCAAGGACTCCACGACCCCAGTCTGTCTGCCTTGCGTTCTGTCCGGCTCATAATACCTTCTCTGCCTCTCTCTGGGAGCCGCTTCATCTATTCCTCGCTTCATCTGTTTGTCCAATCTCTAATGGGCTTTTAAAGGGAGACGGAGTGAGAGAGAGAGAGAGAAATGCAGTGAAATTAATTCCCCTTATAAGTCCCATTAACGCTGACCTCTGAAGAGCTTGTGACGCTCTTAAAACCTCTTGAGCCCAAATCACCACCAACGATTGAATTAACGAAGGCCCGTAAAGTGTCCAGGATGCTTCAGCCTCGGTTTCCTCCCCTCCCTTCCTTTCTCTCTCTCATTCCTCCTCCCCTCCTCCCATGCTGTTTCTCTTCTAAATAAAGATTCTTGCTGCCTCCCTCCGTGAGCTGCGCATCCTTCGTATGCCAGTCCAAAGCACGGCAGCGAGAGCGGACAAGCTGGCACTCTCCAAAAGCTGGCGGGTCTCTTTATTTATTTATTTATTTTTAAATTGAACCCGGCGGTCAAGATGGGACCATCAGTCTGGACATGCATCTTAGTCGTTTACGTTCTTTTTCAAGGTAAGCTGCTGTCTACCTTCCCGGGTTCTGCCTGTTTTATATTTTCTCTCTTGTGCTCTCCCCCTCCCTTCCCTGGCACAAAACATGTCCTGAAAAAAATAGGAAATTGTAAACAGGGCAAATCCCCGGCAGGAGGTGGGTTCCCTCAGGCTGATATGTGGGGGACTTTGCAGAGCTGTCGGGATGAAGCGGAAAGCAATCATGAGCATTTCCAATCTCTTCTGCTTTTGGAAGAGATTTAACCTTTTAAAAAGAGAGCCTTCCACTCTCTTTCCTGATTATAGTTGGGAGACCTGGGTAGTTTTTGCTTTTAAGGCTAGGATTGTTTTTTCTTCTTCTTTACTCTCCAAAGATGCCAGAAATAACAGCTCAGAGTCACTGCCCCACAGTTCTTCCTGGTCAAGGTAAAACCTTGTGGTTTCTCCCCCCCCCCCTACACACACCTTTAATTTCCAGCAAAGGTGCGATCTGTAACCCTCATTCCGTTTCTTTTTTTAAAAATCCGGTTTTCAGTCTCTTTCTGTCTCCAGGCTTTGCAGGAAAGAAAGCAAAACTGACTGATCTGCCTGCTCTTTTCCTACTCCCCCCCCCCACACTCTGGGTAGGCTTGCCGGGTTAAATTGTCTAGATCTCCTTCCATTTCTAGGGAGAATGGAAGCGTGCAGGCGCCCCTGTCACTTTGGTTTAGGGTCTGGTTTAGTTCAAGGGGGACACCTGATCTTTTTCTCTCTCCTCTTCCTTCTGAACAGAGCCCACAGCTGGAGGTTTTTGTACAAGCAGAAGGGAGGGTGGAAGAAACACATGGAAATCTCCCCCTTCCAGCTTATGCTCCCAGTAGATCCAGTAAAACCAAAAGGACGTCTTGTCTTTCCCCCGTGGTGTAGTTAAGACGGAACTATTTGTTTCCTCAGGAGACAAGGAAAGGCCGTTAGCGTAGAAGGCTTTAAAAGGGACTTGGACATACGACTGAGGAAAGGAGAGAGGGGAACATTGACAGCTGTCAGTCATGATGACGTCTTTCCTTCCTGCCCTGGTTTTGGGAGGAGGGGGATTCTTGGAGGCCTCTAATTGTCCAGGGTTGGAAGTGAGGCCATAGTCCAGATGGATCTTCGTTTGGCCTTGCTTCTTACTCTGGGGGCTGGCATTCTGAGATACACTGCTGTTCGGCAAGGAGGTTCTGCTCAGCCGACATGGGTAGCAGCAGTTGATAAATCCTTTTCCTTCTCAGTGAATTTGCTCGATTTTTGTTTTAACTCCTTTCCGAGTCCTTGGTGGCTTTCTAGCAGTTTCATGTCAAGAAGGGCACATTTTCCTCCTGAAATGTACACGTTCTGTGATTTCCGGATCTTTTAAGTGCATCTGCTTCAGCACTTTTGTGTTGGTTCCCCGTTCAGATCCATTAATTCTTAAGTCACCTGTGAACCCATGTTTCCTTTCTGTCCTTTCCTGCAATTGCCAGTGCTTTTGAGGGGACAAAGTTTCAGTGTCCATACTGCGCACCAAAATTTGCCCCTGTCCTTGGTCGTCTGAAATGAAGCCCCCCCCCTTCATGGTGGATAAGGGCAAGGAAAGGCGGATGCCCTTCGTTGGGGTAGATCCTCCAGCAGTTTTTTGCCGAGACAGGCAAGCATTGCAAAAAACAGGAGTGTGATCCGGATACACAAATACAGCACTGTTCTTTTGTGTGTGTGTGTGTGTGTGTGTGTAAAAGGGTTCATCTCTGTTGTCCCCTTCTGTGACGTCTTCCCCGCAGGGCACGTGTGCTGGGGGATTGTTTCCTTTCCATCTGGCCACGGCTCCCCCAGAGCCTCCCTCGGCTCCAGCTGGAAGGCTCAGCGGTGGCTGTTTCTGCTGTCGGTGTCCTCAAAGCGAAACCCCGGGGGGGCATCTGTGGACAGCCTTTCACAGAGCAGTTTTAGTCTGGTTTGCGCCCAGAGGAAGCTGGGAGGACCAGAGAAGCCTCTTCTTTCCACCACCCCTCCTATCATCCCCAGCTAGCATGGGTGTGGATCATGGGAGTTGTAGTCCAGCACGGACGCTATTGGTGCCCTAAGCCAGCAAGGAGATGGAAAAAGATGTGGAGGCCGCTTCCCCTCCCCGGTTTACTTGGGGTCTTGCCTAGCTGGGAAATCCGAAGCTCAAATCTTGCTTGGGAGCTGGCCTTAGGCAAGCTGCTCGCTCTCACCCTCAGCCCCTTCTCCCCTCGAGAGAGACCGTAGGGTAATTATGCGGACTTAACCCTACACGGTTGTTGCAGCTGGGTTATGAGTGCGAAAGAAGTGCTTTTGAGTACATGAAAGGGGGTTACCGTGGAATGAACGAATGGCCCTTCTCCCCAAGATAACAGAGCAGTGTATAAATCAAAATGAGCAGCTCCTGAAATAACCATAAAAATGAAACAAAATACAATTTTAAAGGTAATAAACTTGGGAACAAAATACAATTTTAAAGGTAATAAACTTGGGAACAAAATACAGTTTTAAAGGTAATAAACTTGGGAACAAAATACAATTTTAAAGGTAATAAACCAGGAACTCCGCAGGAAAACTGCCAGAGCAAAGGAGTTATTGGGGGGGGGGTGATGACAAAGGGAGCAAGATGCCCCCCCCCAGGATAATGAAGTCAAACCTAGTTCCCTGAGGATGATTCTACAGTTGCCGATCCTTGAGGCACAACTATCCTGGAATAAATGGAGCTTAATCATAGATGTGTGTCAGTGTAAAAGCAGGACCCCCGCTATTATGATGCAGAAGGAAGTCCAGCCTCTCTGGTTTGCAGGCCGGTTTCTGTGTGCACCATTAAAGTACCTAAAGCATCTCAATGCCATCTTTCATTTTAAAAACCCCTGAATACCAGCATGAATGCTTGTTTGTGAAGATGTACCAGGTTGCCGAAAGAGAAGAGGAAGAGGAGCCCACAGGTCCCATGGGCAGGGGACTGTCGCTCACTCTCCAAGCATCAGAAAAAAAAGCATCTCAATGCCATCTTTCATTTAAAAAAAAAACCCTGAATATCAGCATGAATGCTTGTTTGTGAAGAAAGAGGAAGAGGAGCCCGCAGGTCCCATGGGGAGGGAACTGTCGCTCACTCTCCAAGCATCAGAAAATCCCCTGTTGTTTCTGTTGTTGTGTTTTAATATGCTGAGCGTGTGAACGAGAGTCCACTCCGTCAAAGGCAGGTAATGCTAGTCCCTGTCAATCGACGTAGAGGTGCAGACTTTGTAGGCTAGGAGAGCCGGGTCGGGTCTGTTGCGGTGGAAAGAGAGTCTTGTGCTGTCCGTCCGGGAGACTAACCAGTGGACCTAAGCGTTCAGGAGCGGCAGCTCGCTTCCGCAGAGGCGAGAAGCATTTGCTGGGGAGGCAGAGATTTGCACACCAGTTTGGACAGGAGGGAGATGGAGGAGGGAATAGCCCCAGAAAAAGCACAAACCGAAAGGAGGATGGTTAAGAGCGGGTCCTTGAACAAGCAGCTATCTTGGGGTCAGGAGGTCCTTGCCACAGAGTCTAGCGACACCTCAGAGGGCAGCCGGCTCGATTCAGCCGCAGCCTCCTGTGCGGATGGCCCTCGTGGGTGGAAAGAGAACTGACTTGAGCTTCCCTTCCCTTGGGTTTGCAGGCGCCCACGGAGGAGCCCACCAGCGGCAGCTGCTGAAGGAGCTGATGGAGGACTACACCCCCTTGGAAAGGCCGGTCGGGGATGACGCCCAGCCCCTCACCGTCCACTTCACTCTGAGCCTCATGCAGATCATGGACGTGGTAAGCAGCCGGTCAAAGGGCAGTTTTACCGCCAGCACCTCCCTTGCCTCGGTGGATTCTGGAAGCTAAGTAGCATCAGGCCTGGGGTTAGTACCCTGCGTCCCTGCTTCCATAAAGCACCGTTCCAGAAGATTTCATCACTTTGCTCTCACTGTTTCGGTGTTTTCACCACTGACTTTGCTTTTGCCAAGCTGGTCGGAATGGAGTCTTTTTCTGGAAAGCAGCAGGATGTCCAGGATCCGAGTCACGGGCCAGTTTTGATGCAGCTCACAGCTTCACAGTCCCGTTGAAAGCATTCAGCAGGTCACCTGATTGGGAAGGTGATCACTGGTTTATCAGGGGAGCTTTAATGAAAGAGGAACGATGGTGCTGATGACAGAAGAGTGTTAAACAAGAGGCCTCTTTTCTTTGTTAGAGGACAGATCCTGTGGTGCTTCCCTGAAAGAGGCCTTCTCTCCTGAGAAGAGGCAGAGTAGGGGGGAGGCTGTGTCAGAAGGCAGGGTGTGTATGTATGGAAGAACTTCTTCCAAATTGCATTACACAGGAAGGCTTTTTCGCCCCCCTCATTTTGTGCATTTGAAGAGGTGGGAATGCTTCTTCTCCCAGTTTTTACGGGATGCCTCTTCTCCCTTAACTTGCTCTCTCCGGCTCCTTTCTAGTTCCTTTCTTTTGTTCTTCTAACCGCCTGCACTCTTCCTTTTTTTTCCTCCCCCCACAGGATGAGAAAAACCAGGTGCTAACCACCAACGTCTGGCTGCAAATGGTAAGATTACGGAAGGGCAGAAAACCCATGTGCCAAAGCGGGAGTTCCCCGTCACACCCCAAAGTTGTGGCAGCAGGCCTGGCACAGAAGCCCTGCTTTTCATCTCAGCAGCCCAGGTTTTGCCCAGTCCACCTTGTTTCCCCGTCAACGGTGGCAGAGCTCAGCTCTTGCAAAAGATTACTTTCTGTGCTCCAAGTTACAGTAAAATGGCACCTGACGTTCTGTGTCTCTTTCCTGGGTTCTGCCTGTTTTGTTCATCAGCTAAGCTGATGAACTGGTGCTTATCCTAGGAGTGTCTTCTGTTGTAATGAAACCAACAGCTGATGAGCATTTTCCTTTTAAAGTGCCATTTTATTTCCTTCCAGTACTGGTACGATCATTATTTGCAATGGAACGAATCGGAATATCCTGGTGTGAAATCATTACGGTTCCTGCCCGATCACGTCTGGACTCCTGACATCCTTTTGTACAACAGGTACGGCATTCTGTCCCCTGGGAGGCCGGTGGCTTTCTGCCATTCCCTCCAAATCGCCCTTGCTTGAAGGGTGACCCCAGGAGCATAAATTCGGGTGGATTTTTTGGGTTGCTGTGATTGCCTGCCAAGTTGCCCATCGACCCGCTCCTCTCCCTGTTCCTCCTCTGCCGCTTCCTTCCTTTCTTCTCAGTGCCAACCAAGATTTCGACTCTACCTTCCACACCCATGTCTTGGTCAACTCCAGCGGCTACTGCCAGTGGCTGCCCCCAGGTGAGATGCCCATCGGGTATGGGGTGCCATAGGGAACAAAAAAGGGGGACATTTGGAAAAAGCAAATAAATAATCAGTTGGGTAGATGTTAAAAACAGGTATGGTGACTGTCTGGTTTCTGCCTCTTGAATTTTCCAGGAGCAGCATAGACTGCCAAAAGTATTTACTGGGAACTGGGTATTTTGAGATGTTGAATAGTGCAAGAGAGAATAACCTACATAAAAGGTGGGATTGCACTCCTCGGTGCTTCCAACAGCTGCTGTTCACAATTTTTTTGCTAGAAAAAAAAGCAGTCTATACTGTATAAAAAAATGCCACATATACTTTGAAGTAATCTTATTTACAACAGGTGACCCTGAAGAATTAAACTAAGCAAGGGCTCCACCTGCTGCCGGTTTATAAAAATGGTTTGGCATGCTGAGATAGTCTTCGAATCAATGTCTTCATTCTGTCTTTCCGTTACGTTTTGATCAAATTTGTCCTTTCCGAGGGAGGCATTTAAAGAATATTTGAAACTCTGGCGCTCTTTGGCCTGCTTTTCCTCCCAACATCCTCTGCCTACCCCTCATCTCTTCCCAGGTATCTTGAAAAGCACATGCCAGATCGACGTGCGTTGGTTCCCCTTCGACACGCAGAAGTGTGACCTCAAGTTCGGCTCCTGGACATACGATGGGTGGCTGCTGGAGCTGCGGATGATGGATGCGGACACCTCGGGCTACGTCGCCAATGGCGAGTGGGACCTTGTGGGTAAGGGAGACAGGTTGAGCTGACACTGGGATTGGGGCCTCATGAGCCCTCTTTCCCCTGGCGTCCTTCCTGCCATTTCTCAAGTCTTTGGGCCAAAATGCTAGATTTGCAGACAAAGCAGAAATATAGGCGTATCAGGTGTGCAACTGCCCCTGGTTTCCTTGATTGTGAGGCTGTTGTCAGAACAGCCACAGCTAGAAAGCTAAAGTTTAACCAAACTGGCTAGAAATGGGACATCCCCCCCAGCCCCCGATGGCTGGTCTATATCAAGTCCTTGCATGTCAGTTGCAAGCCAAGCCACGGAGATGCCCTTTTTGACAGAGTAGGCAGCCGGCAAAGGAGTACTAAGACAAAAGAGTAAAACCCAAGAAACCAGGAATCCCATAAAATGCAAAAAAAAGAATAACAGCATCCTGGAGAGAGAAAAAATGGGTCCTTACAATTGATCATTTAAGGTAAAATAAAGAGGAAAAGAAATGCAGAAAGTAGAAAAACCCTGAAAAAGGTTTTGGGATGCAAGACGACCTCGGTGTTCACGCCCAAGGTCAAGACGCCATCCAGCCTCCAGGAGGAGAGCCACGAGATGTGGTTTGTGTCCTTAAACCGCTTTGAGATGGGGTTGAGGGGATGTTTGCAGAACAGCCCAGACCGTCAATCTGGAGGACACCTAAGAGTCCCCATATTGCACCTCATAAAGCAGCTTCTGACTGAGAAGAGCCCAAGATACTGCCAGGATAGGACGGCTCCAGAATGCTGTGAGCGAAAGGGTCCCCCCCCCCAAAAAAAAGTCCTTTGCAATTGTCAGGCTGGATCTCGCCATTTCTATGGATGGACTGGAAACCCATTTCCATGAGCAGCCTCCAAACAAGAGTTTAGATGTTTAATTTTTGCGGGGAGTGGAGTCTAGGTCTGCCTGTCTTCCTGTGCACCCTGCCTGCCTGCCTCCCTCTCAAGTGACAACGGCCACCTTGTCTCTCTCCCCACCCCCCCGGGCAGCCGTACCGGGAAGTGAGAACAAAGTGTTCTATGAGTGTTGCCGGGAGCCCTACCTGGATGTCACCTTCGCTGTGACCATGCGCCGCCGGACGCTGTACTACGCGCTCAACATGTTGGTGCCTTGCTTGCTTCTCTCGGCCATGACCTTCCTCGTCTTCCTTCTGCCGGCTGACTCGGGAGAGAAGATTTCCCTAGGTAAATCTCTCCTGGAAGAAGATGAGGAGATGGGGGAGTGGGGGTGGGGGGCAGCGCAGTGGGTAGTGCCTTGTGGAGGCGAAGGGAGGCTTTAAATCTCACAAGGGGGGGACAGGGAACAAGGCCAGGGCGAAGGTGCCACCGTGGAAGAGGCACTAGCTGGTCCCTGGTGGCTTATTTCTGCCTTCCTCTTGCAGGTATCACTGTTCTTCTTTCACTCACCGTCTTCATGCTGCTGGTGGCTGAGGTCATGCCAGCCACCTCAGACTCCATTCCACTCATAGGTAGGGAGGGCAGAGCACGGGCAGGGACTGGGGCGGGTGTGTTCCTCTATCCGGCTGCTGGGTTTTTGAGGAATTTCGGGTCAGTAGAACCGTTGCGGTAACAGGTGCCGCATCATCCGCCGCCTTGAGATTCCTTCCACTGTGCTTTCCCTCCAGGGCAGTACTTCGCCACGACCATGGGCATGGTGGCTCTCTCTGTGGTTGCCACGGTCTTTGTGCTCCAGTACCACCACCACGACCCCGATGGCGGGTGCATGCCTAGATGGGTGAGTTTTCAGAGTTTGCCTGCGTCTTTCTCTGCATAGCTCTTGTCCTCCTTTGAACTCTCTTGCAAACTCACCTTCTGTGGGTCGCAACCTCGAAACTGGAGAAGCAACTCTCCCCCCCCAATCTCTGATCTAAAGCAACCCCCCCCTCATGCAAACACGGTGCCCTCCAGGTTTGTTAGGCTACTCTATATTTTATGTCTAAATCTAGATTCTAAGCACCTGGTTGGTGCTCTGGTTATATCTTGTGAGATGCTGATGAAAAGATGTTCCTTTCCTTCTGCCTTATCCTGTTAAAACTATTCCTGGTGATACTTTCCATATTTTTAGCATAATCTTCACTCTTGCCTTTTTTGGCCGCCTGTACGTAAACTAGAAATCTTAAATCGAACCACATATTTCCATTCTTCCCAAACGTACGAATTGGCTTTGGCCTCCGTTTCCTTAAAGTGCAGGTCCTCTATTCTCTTCCTCTTTTCTCTGACTCATGGTAAAGAGGGTCTCCCGCTTTCTCTTCTCGGCCCCATTGGCTTCTCTTTCTCCTTGTGGGTTTTCTCTCCACGCAGGTCCAGGTGGTGGTGCTGCAATGGGGTGCCTGGCTCCTGCGCATGCGCCAGCCGGGGAAAGAACCCGTGGCCTGGCCGCATTGCACCCCCAGCCTGCTCAGCTGCAGTTCGGACAGCAGCGAAGGCCGTGCCATGCCGAGTCCACAGGCCGCCCCGGTGGTGGCCGTGGCCAACGGTGGCCTCATGTACATGGGTATCCCCCAGGCCTCTTTTCCTGCCAAGCCCCCGGACGTGCCACGGCCCTTCCTCCCCTCCCCAGAGCTCCAGGCCTCCACCTCCGAGGAACTCTTCGCTGGCCCTGAACTGAGCCGCATCTTGGAGGAGTTACGTTACGTGGCCGAGTGTTTCCGAGGACGGGACGCGGCTCAGGCCGCCTGCAGCCAGTGGAAGTTTGCGGCCGCCGTGGTGGACCGGCTCTGCCTGGTCACCTTTGCCCTTATCCACATCGTCTGCTCCATCGGCATCCTCATGGCCGCTCCCAACTTTGCCGAGGCCATCACGAAGGACTTCCTGTGACTCTCCTGGCCCTCCCAAGAGCTTAGCATCCACGTTCCTTCTCTAGCCATGAGGAAGGTCAACCCAAACTGGCTTCCCCTCTCGACTGCTGAGAGGAGGAGGGTTGCGAGAGGTTTGCTGAGGACAGAGAGCCTCGCCACGCAGCAGCACTGCCAGCAGACTTAATTGGGGCCACCCCGGAAGGGCCTTTGTCAAGCCCCACAGGCTTTCCTGGATTAAAGGCAATGGACGGACCAGCTTCCTCATCTCCTCCAAATGATCAGCTCCGCGTTTCACACTGCCAAGGACTTCAGACTCAAGCTGTCCTCAGGATCCGTCCCTCTTGTCCTGTCTGCCACCTCCCTGAGCCCCTCAAGAGTCCTGTTTTAAAACCTGGTGACTTCCAAAACGCGATGAGCAGCGCTGAAGTGTTTCATTCCCACCAGGAGTGATGGGGAACTCTGTAGGAAAGTGTTACCACCCCTGGGAAGCTTGTGTTCCAAAACTTCAAAAAGGCCCCTGCCTCTCCCCAGGAATGATGGCCCGGGAGTCCAGTCCTGCTTTGGACAAGGTCCCTCCGCCTCAGTTTCTCTGGGCTGCAGAAATGGGGGCAAGCACTGAACTACCTCTAAACAGAGTTTATTGTGAAGACCAAACGCCGTAAAACATCCGAAGCACTTTGCGATGGAAAAAATGCTTGGCGGTGCCGTTGAGAACGAGTATTTTTGCTTTTAATGTTTTGATTCCTTAAATTCAAGATATATTTTCATTATGGTTCTGCCCCCTTCCCCATCTGAATCTTCAGGAACTCAGCGTTCTATATAAATCTGTGTATAAATGAAGAATTGTTAAATGTGGTACCAAACCATAGAGCCAGTATCTTTCTGTTTTGATGGTGTTTTGACTTCCATATCCTTGGTTATTGTCCGAGGGGGATCAGGGACAGCAGAACCTTAAAATTCAAACCGCCTCAGGGAAGGAGGGTGAAAAAAATAAATTTAAATATGACCGGCTGCTTCAGGAGGATACAAAGACAGCAAAATGAGGTTGGCGATATCCTTATCATTCTCATAGGAGATCCTTGGCCTCTCTCCTATAGTATCAAAAACTGACACCTATGTACAACACCATGTGTTTGTTTTTCAGTTCTTTTATTTAAGACAGAAAAAAATTAAATTATTAAAAGTAAACAGCAATAAATAATCAATAACTTAAGTGTTGATATCATCTGAAACATATAATCCGACTCTTCATTTTTTAAATTCCCCATTGCTAAAGTTCATCTGATCATTTTTTTTTGTCTTTTCTCTCTCTCTCTTTTTCTTTTGTCCTTCTAAATAAAATGACCGCGTAGTAAACCCACCTCCCACCCTAGAAGGGAAAATAAAAGGAAGAAAGGGAGACAGGATGAGAAGAGATAAGAGAAAAAAAAAGCAAGTTTGTAAAATCCTCTAAAATCAGAAAAAGGTAAAATGGCGGTGGGCCGAAACCCCTTCTTTTAAAAATTTAATTGCAGCTAATCGCCATGGAATTATTTACAATTACTGGATCAGCAAAAGAGACTGTAAACATATTTCCTTCTCTTTCTTCCGTTCTGGTAGGGCCTCGATTTCAGAGCGCTTTATGGGCATGAGTTCAGAGCATAGACAGATCACGTTTTAAGGTTTTCTCTATTTTTACATCGGTGCCTTATGGAGACGAAGGTAAAAAACAGCAGCAGCAGCAGCAACCCTGTGGTCTTAAGGGTCTGGTGGAGGGTCAGGAGGGACCAAGGTTTATCCAGCTTGCCTTTACAACGGGGCAGGAAGAAAATGCCTTTTGGCCTAGGCTTGGCCTGTGCTGCCAACAGCTCTGAGCTTGGAGGATTTAAGTTTATACACACCAAGGTATTCAAGTGGGGGCAGGAGTGTGTGTGTGTATGTGTTACAAGGGAGTGTGTGTCTGTTACAAGATGGGTAAAGAAGAGTTTTGGAGCTGGGATGTGGAGAATTCATCCAGATCTTAGGGAGGGTTGGGGGCGGGTGTACAAGATACCCCATGTTTTGGGACAGCCCTGGCCAAAATCTGGGAGGAATTCTTTCGAAGCTCCACCTGAACGCGGAAAGGCTGGGATGGCAGCTCTAGGCTTGAGCGCTGTGTGAAGAGTTGAGTGTGCACACAGTCCTGGATGTTTTGGTTCCAACACAGGAAACAAGGTATGTCTCAAAAAATGTGAACATCGTTTCTTTCCTCTTGTTTCCTGTTCCTCGGGTCCCTGTTCTCAGGATCTCTTTCTCTCCCTCTCTCTCTCCCGGGAAGGGGGGGGGAGTCAGCGAGATGGAAAGGATCTGAATGGAAATGTGATCTGTAGCACAATGGACCGAAAAAAGATCGCCCTGTTTGGCAGCCCGTGGGGATGCGGCATTTCAGGAGGGTGTTTGTTGGGGGGGGGGGGGATTTGGTATGGAAAGCCTTGCTTGCACAGCCTTGAGAAGGGGTGCAGAGGGGACATGGGGGGGGGCAGAGTTTTCTAAAGAGTCCTCCTGGGGGAAGGGCTGGACTGAGATGTAAACTTTAAAAATCTCCCAACGGCCTCAAGTCGGAGATCAGGCAGTTTGGCGAACGTCCGAAGATTCGGCGGCAAACTCTGCCTGGCCAGCCGGAAGGCAACATGTGGGGCAAACAAGCCCCCCTCCCATTCAGTAGCAGGCGTTCTCTTTTGAAGGATGACTCCGAAGCGGATCCTGAGGCCGCAGAGGGGACTGAACCATGCCTGCGGCTTGGGAGGGAGATGCCCCATGGCGGACAGGTGTGGGGTGGAAGTGGACTCGTCCAGCTGTTCTCTTGCCCTTCTTGCTGGCATGAGGCCTGAATGGGGCCAGGGAAGTGTTGGCAGGAGGGTTTCCCTTGCCCTCCGCTGATTCGGGCCCCGCCATGGGCGCCAGATGGTCAAGGTCTGGCTTCTCATTTGCAGGTTCTGTCCAGTCGGGCCCCCTGCGCCTCCTCCTCTCCTCCTCCTCCGGCTTCTGTGTTGGACAGAGGTCCTGACCTGGAATGACAGCAGCAGCCACAAAAGTGGTGGTAAGGAGGCGTGGGGAAGGCAGGGCGCTGGCTTTGTTTTGATATGAGGGAGACCCTCCTGACACTCCGTGGGCTCTCCTTGCCTGCACTCAGCAAATGGACGGGAAAGCAGCCTTCGGGAGGAGAGGAGAGGGAGGCTGGTGGGCCCAGAGGTGAGGGGAGATTCTCTTCTGAAGCTTGAGGGGTAGAGAGGGTCTTGAGGAGCTTCATCCTTGTGGAGCAGCCCAGGGGGCTCTTGGCCGCTCTGCCAGCATTCCCCTCCCAAGAGAACTCCTGCAGCTTTGAACAGCTGAACAACTAAACGATCATTCAGCACGGATGGTTTTTCTCAGCCGGGGAAATGCAAACCTCCCAGATCTCAAGGAAACCACGCCTGCATTATTCGACTGGTGGCTGACGACCAATGGCAAGAATCCCCTGGTGTCCAAAAGGTCTGCCTGCAGCATAGGCTACCCTGTTGCATCCCTGTATGAGTCCGTGATCTTGGCTTTCCGCTTGTCCTTCGGGCAGGCGGTTGGCGGTGATGCTGGTTTTGGTAAAGGCAGTTAGTCCTTCACACAGAAGGTCCCATGTTCAGTCCCAGAGAACTCACAGGTCGACCTGGGAAACTACCCTCTCTGAAGCTCCAGAGAGCCGTGGCTGCTCCTCCCGTGGGTACCAGACGGGGCTTGATGCCCTGAACGACTGGCTCCGTCGAAGGCAGCTTCCTTGGTATCCTTGTGGCCTCTTGGATTCAACCTCTTTTAGGATTTCGGAGGAAATGGTCCCTTTACACATGGGAGGCTGAGAAACACTTGTTCAAATACAAAGCAGGAAATTTTATTGTGGGGAGCCAGGGCAGAACAGGCAACAGCTGACTCTTCTGAAGGGCCCCTCATACTCTGCCTGCGCGGCTTGTCTCTTCAGCACGCTGCCACCAGGTCCTTCTTTAGACTGTTTTTCTCGATGAACCTCTGGCCCTCCAAGCAGTAAGCAATGCACTTCTGCCCTCGTCTTCATCACCTAAGGTCACGGCTGGGCTCTTAAAGCATGGCTGGAACACACGAAGAATTGGAGAGGAGGATTATTTGGATGTCCCCCCCCACTCTCAAAATTCTGGCAGCCTCCGTGTCTACTGTGACTCGCCTATATCCGTTGAGGGACCCAAAGCAGCACAACGGGGGTGGGGGGAAGAGAAAGGACGAAGAGTGAGGACCTGAAAGGCGATGGTGTTTCTGCCCATCTCTAGTCTCTCCTGACTGAGATGATGTGTCCAGAACGAGGGACTCCTGCCTTTAAAGCTTCCGTCTCTCCTGGGCTGGACAAGTCAACAGGCAGGCCCAGTCTCCACAAAACGCAGGGATCCTTGGTGGTGTCCCAGGGGATGGTGGACAAGAGGAGATGGGGAAGGCCTGTCGGGTTTAATCCCTTCTTGAAAAGGAGCTGATCGGTGCATCAGAAGAGCCTTTGAGCCAGCCGGGAAAGAAAGGCCCCCAAAAGCTCTGGGAGCGAGGAGTTGCTTTCCGTGATCTAGGAAGAGGAAGGAGAGGAAAACCGGGAGGGAGGAAAAGGAAAGAAGGAAGGGCAAGAGAATCGGGGGGGGGGGGTCTTTGCTCCTCCACGGAGTGGTGGACCTAATGAAAGAGAAGAGAAGAAGACAAAACAACACAGAACAGGATCTATTAACTTTTCAATTTCCGTTTTGGGCTGGGCTGCAGACTGAGAAGTTCCCTCATAGCTTGAGACATGCAGAGAGAGGACCTTGGTTTGGCTGGAATCCTGGGTTCATTCTTTCTTGCCTCCTTCCTCCTCCACCTTTTAGGCCTCCCTCTTTGATCAGCCTCTTTTTCTCCTGAAAACAAGGTCGGACGTTTCCCCCAACGCCACCTTTTGTTTTCCTCCAATGCCCCAGGATTTCAGCGGCCAGGCCTCCGAACGTGAGGCACACCTTCTGCTTGAGGATCCTCCTTCCGGGGAGCAACCCTCCTGCCATGATGCACGTCTCCAGGATCAACAGAGAGCGCCAAGATGGCAGCAGAGGGACCCATCCCCCTTTTTGGGGGGGATCCGGACGGGACTTACTAGCATCACATCAAGGAGGGGGCGGGAACCTGTTCTCTGTTCTCTGTCTCTCATCCTCACCCCAGAAGGGTCTGGGCGGAGAGGAGGCGGGCGGTCATTTCTCATTTGGAACTGCTCCTGTCCGCTGTGGGAGGAGAGGCCAACTTCCTGTCCTTCCACTCACTGACCATAATTGGCATTCCTTATTTGAGTTCCTTGCTTCTAGGAATCACCCATCAGACATCCAAAAAGATATTCAATCGTTACAATAATTAGAAGTTATGACGGGGAGGATGTGGAGGTAGAAAATGACCTGTTTTACTGTAGCTCCTCACCTTCCAGGGTAGCGACAATAAATCTAGGAGTAACAATACTGCCATTACTCATCACAGATCCCTGAGAACTGCCCTGTGGAGCCCACGTCTGAAAGCGTCCGGTCTCCACATGGCGTCAGCCACAGCCCCCACCGATGCTGTTTCGTGACTAGAAATACGGACACGCACACGCACCAACGACAACAACAGAGAGAAAGCAAAAACACAGGCGAAATCCACAAGGACGACAATAACGACGACGATGACAAAAAAAAGGAAAGAGGGAGAGAGAGAGATTTGAGGCCTTCGGAAGCTTTTTGATTCTCGTTGGCAGAACAGCTTGCAGGCCGGGCAGCTCATCAGCAAGGGAGATTCCATCGCAGGGAGCAGTGGCCGGGGACCCGGTCCACCAGGAATCTCTGGTACAAATGGCGGTGGTGGTGGTGGTGGTGGGGATGATGACGATGGCACTACCGAACAGGCACTTGGGAGATGAGGAGGAAAGGGGCTCCATGCAACAGGAGGACAAGAGAGAGAAAGAGGAGAGGAGAAGCATGTGGGTGGGATGGAGAGGCAGGCAAGCGTGCGCTCAAGATGGAAGAGCCAAGGGAGGGAGGCACTGTCCTGGAGGATTTGGGGGTCCCCCCCTTTGCCACATGGGCCTCTGGCCAAGAGGAGGCAGAGTCTTGGCTAGAGTGGGGAGATCAGGCGGCGGGGATTCAATGCCACTGTCTCGGTCCTCGATTTAGGTCTGAGATCTGCGAAGGGAGCTGTGAAGCGAAGAATACAAACTATGGAGAGGGTTGGCTGCCCTTTGAGATACACTTGCTCCAAACTGGATTTCTCTACAAGGAGCATCCTTCCTCGTACTAAACCCGAGCTTGGAAAAAGTCACTGTTAAAGTCTGTTAAAGTCTTCGGTTCATCCCAATTTTTCAACCACAATCTTAAAATCTGTTAAATTTTGAGCAGCCACCAATGGTTCTTAAAGTGTTAATGGGCACTTCAGTTTATTTTAGATGATATTTTGAAGTTCATAATTCAATGGACTGATTGATCATATACAAATCCTTAGTGTTCTAACCTTAACAAATTATTTTTCTTTGGCTGTGTAGCATTAACGCATGAGCACTAATGCGGACTCATGCAGACCAATCAAATGTCCATCAATGGTCACGAGCTGCCGGTAGCCACCGTCCATTCTGAGTGCGAGGCAGACCACTGAGGCGAACGCTCTGCTTCAGGGTCACATCCAGCAGCCTGGATCCTTTTCCTCAAAGAACTTCCTTAGGAGGAAGCGGTTTGATAAGGAGGCTGAGGATAAAGCTCTGTCTTCACTCAATTTGGAGACTTGCCCTCGTCCCTGTTATCCCAGGAGGTGACTGTCAAGCCCGTAACATCCAAAAGGCACACTTTTAAAGTGCCGATTCTGGAGACCCACTCAACACACTTTGTGTAGGAATCCTTCTGTGCTATTTTTTTTTAACCCAGAACGTGGAGTGTTGAAGCCAGAGATGAGGAGGGATTGAGGCCTCGTTTGCACCCATCTTGCGGGCAATGCGTCTAGAAGTCCAAGTGGCAAAGGTCTAAGAGGGGAGCGCAGGGATTAAGACGTATGACGTGGAAGCTATGAGGCATGTTGACGTTCGCCCACAGGATGGAAAGCACAGTCCGACCACACAGCCCCGCCAGCCAGCGCATCTCAAGAGACAAAAACCATACAGACGAGCAAACACAGTGCAAGCAAGGAAATCATAAAAGAACACAGCCCACAGTGCTACAGGGAGAATCACAGCAGATTCACGGGGGGGGGGACTGAACAGAGACGGGTCTTTTGGGCAGGGGGTGTGTCAGATAGATGGGGCAGTGGGAACCATAAGAGATGGCGGCCACGGGGCAACCTCAGTTGAACTCCAAGCTTGCAGAAGAGCATTGTTTCGGGCTGGGGAAAATGCTTGGGGTTTGGGCCTCTGTGTGTGTGTGTGTGTGCATGGCCAGTGTGGATGCATGCCTGCGTGGGGGTGTCTGTAGAGACTGTAGATACAGGCGCACTTGTACGGGGTAGCAAGGGGGTGGAGGGCGGTACTTCACCAAACGAAAACTACGTTCCAGAAACTCACGGCACATCCAGTAAAATGCTAGTTCACGCATACGTCATGCAGAAAGAGCGCAACTCGGGTCACATGACGTGTTGTTGGGTCTTTCCAAATAATAATAATAATAATCAGTAAAATGCTAGTTCACGCATACGTCATGCAGAAAGAGCGCAACTCGGGTCACATGACGTGTTGTTGGGTCTTTCCAAATAATAATAATAATAGAACAAGAAGAAAGAATACAACCACTGTGCTGGTTCATTCCGTAGGATGCAACTTACAAGGGGGGCAACGGAGCTAGGTCTCCCGCGACAGCGAAGGGTGGCTTAGCCACAGAGTCGTCTCAAGAGAGGACGGGAGCCCTGCCGAGGGAGGGCGGGAGGTGGGCGCGGTTTCGAGCAGCAAAGAAAGAAAACGGGAGTTTGGTTTCTTTTTTTTCCATTCTTTTTGCGTGCCTGGTATTTTCTCCTTTACAAAAATATTTAAATTCTTTCCCCCACCCACTAATAGTTTTGCTAAGGGTTTTTTAAAAAAACAAAATAAAAAGGACATTTATTCAAAATAAAAGGAACATTACTACTCACACACTGGCAAGAGACAAGACAGGAGCGTTTTGACTTTACAGACCTTCAGCCCACCCACTAGTGGGGTGGAAAACATGGCACTTCTGATAGCTTAACAAAAATGGCAGTTCTTGGCAGGGGAAATGAAGTCCCTCTTTATTTCCTTACTCATCCAACGGTTGATTTTGTGTTTTCTCAGGATAACAACATCTCCCTTCCACCACCAGCAGCCATGACGGGCGGCATGGAGACCTGGGAGGGCGCCACCACTCTAGCCATCACAGCCGGGTGTGGAGCTGGCCAAGGGGTAGCAGGGTGCTGAGCAGATAAGAGTGCCGAATCAGGACCCAGGAGACCCGGGGCTCAAAACCTTCTGCAACCAGCCAGCCCTCAGGGTGACCTCAAGGCCAGTTCTATACCTGCAGCCTCACAGGACTCTGGTACAAGAGGGCGGCCAGTCACCCTCCTGAACCGCAGAGTTGCATCAACAGCCAATGAACCTCAGTGGCATCAGGGGAAAGAGGTACAGGGCAGTCTCCAACACCTACAAAACCCCCCCCCACAGAAAATGAACTACCACTGTCTGACATAAATTATAGTTGGGCAGAACTTTTCCATAATACTCTTGCTTTGTATCATCCACATCTCCAAACTCCTGCCAAAGGTGAAACCTCCCCCAAGTTCTCCTGTCCTGTCTGCTTGTGTGGTGGGGATACCTTGTGAAAGTAGATAGAACTGCAGTTGTCCAAATAATAATCCCCCGGCTGCTGTACTGGTTGCAAAACGAGCTACTGGTAGACCCTAAAATGGGCACTGAAAGGTGTGTGTGTATTGGGGGGGGGAAGAGGTGTAAATTATCATAAGACTGAAGAAATTTGAGCCAGTGTTTGACCGTGGCTGGATCGCTCTGTGTAGGTGCTTTGTGTCTTTATCTTTGGAACAGATTTTACAGAGGTCTGTACTCTCCAAAGAAAGGGTCTTCTAGATCTATATATCCAAACATATATTTCTGTTAGTAATTTGAAAATCAGTCACAATGCTTTTGAAAAACTAGGGCAGAAAAGTCATGGTCACTCCAGAGGTTTTAGACCCTGGCTTTCTTAAGGGCGCAGTGGCCAGCAGTCAAGGGTGATGGGCGCTGTAATTCAAGCCTTCTGGAGAGTAAAAGGTTATGAAAATGAGGAAAGGAGAGGACTCAATTTTAAAATGCTTCCCTGGCTGGTTAGCCAAGCTTTTCTTACTCACCTTAAGCAGCTTATGAGAGGCCTGCTTAGAAATCCGTCTTCCCTGTTTAAACGGCTGTAATTGTGGGTCATTAGAGGAGACCTAGCACAATATTTACAAACAGAAAACGCTTGGCTATAGCGGTCTGTGAAAATCATCTACTGACATTTCCCTGTCATGGGGGGGAGAAACTGCCCCCTTCTGTTTCTCCTACGGGGCCATGAAAGACTGCCATTTTACTCTCTGCATCTGTCTTCTTGAGAAATTAACTCAAATCACCCAGGGTGACCTTCCTCCCCACTAAACACTACCACGTCACCAACCACGAAGGCAAAAACAACCACATGTCAAAAGGAAAGCTACATAAATTTCACAGCAGGAGAAATTTTGTTTCCAACTATGGAAACACGCACGCACACACACACACAAGAGAACAAGACGGATGGTCAGAACAAAGGCACGTCACGTACAGACACACGTGGACACCAGCCTCTGGCCTTTGACCTGGGTGGGGGAAGAAGGACAGGGCTATCGTGGCAGGACCCAGGTTGGGTCTTAAGGGTCTGGGAGAGTCCTGTCTGTAGTGGTGAGAGTCCACTCAGCGGGCGGTTTCTGGATCTACCTGTCTCCTCTACCCACTCCCATCCTTGCCTCTGGTTGCATCTTTTGGCTCCCTCCTCCTCCTCCTCCTTGAGGGCAAAGAAACAAGGGAGAAGCACCCTCTTCTAGACCTTCCTTGAGCGTCTTCCAGATCTCCTGTATTTTGCAGAAAAACACACTTTCTTGGTTGCATTCCTCTGCTGTGCTGTGGCCTTCGCTTCCCTTCCTTCTGTCATATTCCTTGTCTCAAGCTACAGGGCGTAAGGTCCTCTTCCTGTGTGCTTTTCCACCCTGAGTGCCGCAGAGGGAACAGGAGGACCGAAGGGTGCTGGCAAGGAGCAGACAGTAATTTCCTACAAATCCCCAGAAAGCCACCGTAACCACAGGCCTATGAAGCTGAACCACGCTTTTCATATAGGAAAATGGAAGTTGTAGAGCTCATTTCCTTCAGAACAAACTGGGCGTGTGTGTTGTGTGAATGGACATATCTCGTATCTCAAGGGCAGCATTTTCCCACCAAAAAAACCACAAATAATAATACATGGGTGTGGAGAGCCACACAGATGTTTAAAATACGGCTGTTCAGCCTGAGGTTTATGATTCGTGTCAGCGTATCGACCTGAGTTAACCAGTTCCATGAGAATCAATAAAAGGCACAAACGTTTAACCAGGCTTTGAGAACAAACTGCCCTTCCCATCCTTAAATGTTTGCACTGTCAGGAGGGTCTCAAATATTTCCTTCGAGTTTACATATTCTTCTTTCTGTCTCCTTTAAAACGAAATCAACACACACACACACAAACACACAACACTTTGGATTCTGAATACCCTCCCAGGGGCTGTTTGGCTGGGCATGTGCTGCCCTCTAGTGGCTGGGAACACATAGCATGCAGGGCAGGGTCCTTTTCTAACTGGATTCTCCCAGCAGCCACCAGGCACCAATCAGAGCCCTTCTTTCGCTTCGCTGGCCACTCCCACCAATGAGCTCTCTCCCTCATCCAACAAGACGACGACACAGGAAGCACCGCCCTGGCAGCTTCCAATGAGAACCGCCCCCACATGACTGAGCAGTTCTGATTGGATGCTGCCCAGAAGAGGGGCGGTTTGCCTGGGCGGAAGCCGCATGTGAACCTGTAGTGGGGAGAGGAAACAAAAGAAAGAGGGGACTGGAGCCCTTGGGGGTGGGGTAGGGGGTTTCCTTCTAAGAGGCATGGTTGGAGAGCACAGGGGGGAACACTTCCTTCTGTGAAATGGGTCGGGGACGCTTTTTTAGAGGGGGCAGAGCCCATGTGGCTCTCGGGAGGGGAGGATTTTCCCTGGGGTGGGGTGGAATGGGAGGCTCTAAACCCCAGCCCTGCTTCCCAGCAGCCTTCTGGGACAAACAATAAGCCTTCCTCAGTTTCCCCTTTCCCTTCTGGGGACTGGAAGGGTGATGTGCGCAGTGGGAGTTTTCACAGCTGCAAGGCGGCAGCTGTCCGTGGGACGCTTTCCCAAAACTATCCCCATCTGCCCCCAAAGTGTGGGGGGAGGGGGGGAGGAAGAGGAGGGGGGAGCCTCCATGCCTGGGTTTTGACACACATGGCTGCAAACTCGGACCGAGTTCCCTGTTCAGCCATTTCCTCTGCTATTAACGAGCTTAATTTAGCATCCCCAGAGTGAGAGGAAGCCAGATCAAGGTTTGGGGCTCGAAGGCCGGACGCCCAAATGTCCCTCCAAGACGAGGGGTTTCTGCTGCAGCGGAAAAGCGACTGGACTAACCAGAGAAAAAGTGGCTTCGCTGACAAAGAGTTTTGCTGTAGCCACACACAGGCCATCGCGATCCCCCCCAGAAACAAGTTCCAAGGGAGTGGGGCGGTCATGGGGGCAGCTCTCTCTGTGCTGGGGCTTGGGGAGTGGGGGTAAGGAAAATGACCAGGACACCTCTTGCCTCTCTCCCCCCCCAAGACCACCTCTTTTGCTCGGGTGTGTGTGTGTGCGTGCAGCTGGGGAGGCACGCACCTGATTGGGGTGGTGGTGATTCAGTACGGCCGGTTGGCGTCTTTGGGCCTCTTGAGCTGCACCTTGAGACGTTTCATCCCGATCTGGAAGCCGTTCATGGCCTGGATGGCAGCCTGAGCGCTGGCTGGATTGTCGAAACTTACGAATCCTGAAGGGGGGGAGAAATAGGGTGAAAAGTGTGGGGGTGGGCTGGGGAGGATCCCCCTGCTGAGACCTCACACTGGAAATGGGCGGATGGCCAGCATGGGCTCGGATTCTCCACACCTGCAGGGCATGAGGCAGTCTGTGCGCTAAAAACCTCTCATTTAAAAAAAAAAGATGAAATGTTAAAATGTTTCTAGTCCTCATGCTGGGAACAGCAAGAGAAGGAAGCTCTGCTGCCTTTGCCCAACTCCCTGTGACTAGGAAATGCCAGAATAAATAGCTAAATGTACATTTTTTTATAGGAATGAAGCAAGCATGTATTAGAAGATGACAGTCAGAGAGCTCCAACTCTCTGGGAGGAAATGGGGCAGAGGGTCTTCCATTTCCTTAGGTCAGTTGTAGGTTGTGTGGGGGGGGATTATCCTCTGGTCCCTGGGGCAGGTGGGGCGGTTCAGGCCTCCACTCTCTGGACTAGAAAGACTTGACCCTTAAGAGTCGCCACTTCTGTGACCCGCCCTGAGGGTCCCTGGTTTCGGGGACCCCTCTCGTGACACCATTTACAACCAAGGCCGAACAGAACGTCTTGGGATGGAGACCTCCCATGGGAGAGATGCCACGTAGACGTGGCGCCGCAAGCCTCTGCCAGGAGCGACCACCCTCCTTCGCTTCGCTCCTCGTACCGAAACATTTGCTCTGATTGGTGGCGCGGTCCACGAAGACTTTGGCAGAGATGACGTTTCCGAAGGGGAGGAACATCTGCAAGATCTCGGAGTCCGTGAACTCCTGCGGCAGGTGGTAGATGAAGATGTTACAGCCCTCGGGACCTGCGGAAGGGCGGGCGGGTCGCAGGAGAGGGGAGGAGAAGAAACAGAATCTTAGACGGAGCCCATGTTGGGACTTCACAGAGCCGACCAGCCCCTGGGAAGCAAAGCTAGGGCTGCAGGAGGTTTGTTGGACCACCATGGTCCACAACCCCCAGAAGTCCCAGCTACTCCTGCTAGGAGTTCAGTGTCGTCGGAGTTGATGTCCAAGACCCTTTGGAGCCTGCGTTAGGCTTCCTGGTGGCATTTTCCAACCCTCCTTTGTGCATCTTGTTCTATATCTCTGCCAGCCTCTCAGGAGGTCCTCGGGAGGCGCCCCAGGACCCTTCCATCCTTTCTCAGCAGCAGGAACTCCACGGGCCGAGTTGAGGCCGCCCTACCTTCCCGCTGCTGCTGCTGCTGCTGCGGTTGTTGTGGAGGAGGCTGCTGGGTGATGATGGTGGCGGGCTGTTGCGGGAAGGCTGGGCTCACCAGACCGTAGGCGGCAGGGTAGGCGGCTGTGGGAAGAAGGGGTACTCCTTGAGGGGCAGAGCACCTCCCGTTGGCCCAGCTTGGGGGAGCTCGGCCACCGAGTAACCCTAAAACCCATTCTGTGGGGCCTAGTGAGAATGCTGGCTGGTGGTGCTGTTGCCAGAAAACACACACACACACAAACAGGCCCCAGGCAAGAAGGGTGTGTGTATGTGTGTGTGTGTGTTGGATCAGCCTCTGCTGACCCCTCCCTCCCCAAAACTGTGATCGCTGCTCACATACCTGTATAATGCTGCATCCCGGCGTAGGCCTGTTGCAAGGGGTCCACAGGGGCAGCCGGGCTCTGTGCTGTGGCATGCGGGTGAAGAAGAAGAAGAAGACGACGACACAGGCCCTTGTGAGGCTTCAGGCAAACCACAGCCGCACGAGACCCGAGCGGCCCAGCCCTCCCTACGGTTCCCAAGAGGAGCCAGCCAGACGCCTCCAAGCAGCACAGAGGGAAGGGCACGCTCTCTTTGGCATGTCCCCTGTGATTTGGATCAGGGTTAGGGTTTGGCATTTTTATGTTTTTTTTAATTCCCCAAAAAGGGTGAAGTTTCTTTTTCTTTTCTAAGGTGGAGAAAACCCCAACCTACGTATAGAGAGTCAAAAGGTTGGAGGCCATGGGAAGGAAGACCAAAAAGTGGGCCTTGGCTGAAAAGGAGGAAAGCCATCTGGAGCAGATGGAGCCTTGGGCGGAGCAGGTACCTGGGTAAGGGTGGACGCCGTTGGTGTAAATGGCCTCCGAGGCCGGCTGCCCTGTGCTCTGGGTGGGGACAGGGCTGTAGCCGTTGACGCTGAGGGTGGCCGGGATGGCAGACACTGGCGTGGCAGCAATGGCAGGCGGCGTGCTGGTACCTGCCGGGAAAGAGAGGGCTGATGAAGGTCCCACCAGGATGGCTGCTGTCTGCAGCTTCTGCCCTCTCAACGTTTTAGCCCTATCTTTCGCTCCCGTTAAACTAGCAGCCTCCTTCCATTAAACTGCCTCGTTCGCCTGCCTGAGTCTTCTGAGGGCCAGAGGCGACCAGGGAGCTGCTCCGTACAAGACCAGGTCGCAACAGTGCTAACCTGGACGGTGTAGAATCCTCCAGATGTGGTGGAGGGCAACCGGGAATCCATCTCATCTCTCTCCCTCCCGCCCCTCTCCCGTCCACCTTCGGCCCGACTTACCTGAGGAGGGCGTGATGGGGGTGATCGGGGTGGCAATGAGGCCGCTGGGGCTGATGGTGGCCATCTGCTGCATCTGGACTGCGGCCATCGTCGCCATGGGGTTGAGGTAGGCAGAGTGTGCAGCCACGAGAGCGGCCTGTTGCTGCATTAGCTGAGGATGGGGAGGGTGTGGGACAGAAAATGGCATCATTGCGGTTGCCCCTGGAGGCTTCCAGGCACCCACAATAACACCAGCCCTGCCCTGGAGCAAACGTTCATGAAACAATCTGCTAGAACAGGGATCCCTAGCACCGGTTTCTTGCCCAATCAAAAGCCCCGGGACTCCTTCTGAGGCCGGATCCTCCCAAAACAACATCTGGATGACATGATGACTGAATTTGTACAAGCAACGCTGGAGCAGAGGTTTTGTTGAGTGGCTCACACAAAATTAACTCGGTGATGGAAAGGCACGTAGCTTTGTCTGTTTCGGCATCTTCTAGGTGGACCGACTGACAAAGCCTAATATCCACCCACCCACCCAGACTGTGCTCGCTGGTTGTAGGTAACGGGAGCTGTAGGGAAACCAAGCTGAATGCACTGAAAACAGGATGTGTGGGGTTTGCACGCAAGAGAGGGAGAGTGACCGCCTTCTTCACCTCTCTCCAACCACCAGTGCAGACGCTTCTACCGCAGAGACAGTCAAAACGTCTCTCACCCCCCCCGGACCCCAGGCGGGATCCTTACCGCTTGGGTGTAGGCGCTGTAGGCCCCAAACTGCAGCGCGATGGGGCTGAACATGCCCAGCTGGTTGGCCACCTGCTGCATGCGCCGGAGCCCCCGTTCCTTCTCCGTGTCGGCAAATTTCACCACGAGGCTGGAGGAGGCACCCTGGGAGGGGATGGGGGGTTGGTGGGAAAAGAGAAGGTGAGAAAGAAGGGCACATGTGGCCACTGGGCTGAAGCGACCGGGGAGGACGTCCTCGCTCTGAGTTCTCCGGCCAGTGTTTCTGCGCATTTGTCGGTGAGGAGATGGAAAGAAAAGAGCCACAAAGTTGGAGGTCGCAGGGGAAGGAAAGCATTGGTCAGGTTTCCCAGAACCTCCCAGTTACATTTACTGGGCCACGTTCTTGAGTTTAAAAACTGGCCACTCTCCAGGACGTACCGGTTCCTGCCCATCAACCTCTTAAGGAGGCCACCCCTATTTTTTTTTTTGTGCTGCTTCAGCATCAGATGCCAAGGGGAAAGAAAGATTTTGTGAAAGCTGGACTACAAATAACATTGTTAGCTGCTGATTCTCACATATCAAACTCACCTCAATTTTTAAAAATGAATTGGGGGGAGTCGGGGAAGAAATCTGTGTTCCCCCACTGAAAAATCTGTATTGCTTTAAAAACAACTGCTGACAACTGCTTTTCGGTTCACCCGCCCTCTCAAAAATAATAACGCGTTTGTACAATTTCTTTTCCCAAATTTTGGGGGAGTGTAATAGAAAGTGTTGTCCACCAAGGGGCAGCAGAACTTACACAAACCACTCTTTTATTTTTTAAATATTTTTTAAAAAGGAGCCGTGCCAAAGTCTGGAACCCAAGGGGTCTTACCGGCAATGTGCGGCTGCCATGCAGCGTGTTGATCGCAGCTTGCGCCTCGGCGTGCGTCTGGAACTTCACGAAGGCGCAGCCTAGCAGGGGAAAAGGTGAAGAGAAAACCATGTAAAAGACTCGGAAGGGAGGAAGGAGAGAGAGACTGGCCTACAAGTGCGACCGGTGAACTTGGAGCAATGCAAAAGCTTTGGAGGTTTTTTTGGGCTGTAACTCCCAGACCATGTAGGCTGCAGAATTTGGGGAGCTGTAGCGCCACTGGGAGCTGTAGTGTGAGCAACCCATGTTTCTTGTCTCTAGTGCTGGGCTATTATTTGATTGTACCACTTTCACCCTGCAGACAGGAGAAGGGTAGGGGAGAGCCCTTTTTTAAACAGTCCACTCCCCTACACACAGAAATCTAGCCAACTCAGAGAAGGGTCCATGTTCGCTTTGCCCCTTTGATGTGCCAGATCTTCTCCTGGCAGTGAGATTTTTTTTTTATTTTTAAGCAGCAGATCTTTTCAGAGATGTCATTTCCACACCCACGCTGGGGGAGGAGGCAGCTTGAGAAGGACGGACAGGAAAACCTTCGTGGAGGGAACCACCTGTCCTCCGTGTTCACTCATAAATCCCGACTGAATTTTATCTCTGGGAAACAATGCGACTTGAAGAAACAAATTCATCCAGAATTTTAGGAAGGGCTTTTTGATTCCGGGGGGCCTCAGAGAGGACTGACTGCGTTTTCAAGAGCGTCGTTTCTGTAGAATGTGTACTCTTGAAATAAATGCCGAACAGGCAGTCCTTTAATACTTGAAGGAGGCAGACAGCGCGGGGCCTAATTTGCTCTTGAGTCGGTCTGCCATCTGCATTCAAGAGGCAGGAGGAGCCTGGCAGGGCTCAGAGGGAAAGCAGGCACGGCTGTGTCTGTGTGTTAGATTTCAAAATGTCTTCATACATCCCAAATCTGCCCTCTGGAGTTGCCTTAATGTACTTCTCTGAATAGCCCCTCGGACATCATCTGCTGAAAGTCAGGAGCTGGGAGTCGAGGTGGCCGTGGGGCGTGCGTGCGTGCATGCACATGGAGAGATGACCCCCTGTCCCTTCTCACCTTTGCTGGTGCCGTCGGGGCCTCGGAGAACCGTGCATTCGTCGATGTTCCCAAACGGCTCGAACATCTTCCGAACGTCCTCGTCCGTCTGCTGTTTACCCAGCATCCCCACAAACAGCTTCCTGTCTTCTGGAGGAGGAACAGAGGACGTTGCTTGGGTCGTGAAAAGCCTGGCCAAGCCAGGCTGGCTAACCTCCTGCTCCCCACTTGTATGCATTTCTAAGAAATTAACCTCGGTAACCAGCTTGAGCCACTGGGATACCTTGGGGATCAAACACTCGGAAAGCAGCGTTAAAGCCAGCTCCGTTAAAAGGACCGAACCAGTCTAGAATCCCAAATGGAAGATTTCTGGACAGTTCCATACCCCCAACGCCACAGACGGGCGACATTACCTCCTCTGCTTTCACTGTCTGCTGGTTTAACCTGGATTGGCCGGTTCATCTGGAACGAGAAGGAGACACAGGCTAATGCCAAGGCTGCCGTGTTTAGTGGCTTAATCGGTTAGATTAATTTATTAGGTGATATTTTGATAAGCAAAAGGATGACACCAATACACTGCACATCTTTTAAAACAAAAAACACAAATGCAGCTGAATTTATTTTTTCATGGGTAGCTCTTCGATTCTAAAACAGAGAGAAGGAAAACATTTTTAAAACTGAAGGGCAGATGTTTGGGGAGAAAATTTTAATCATATTAAAGGTGAGAAGGAGCCTTCGAGGAGGGGGGCGAGCCTTCGGAAAAACCCAGTCGCTACCGGGAGCTGTGAAAGAATGGATTTTGCTCACAGGATCCATCGGTGTGCGGCTGCAAGGAGAAGCCACTGTAGGGTATGGATGAGGCTCTGGCTTCACATCGTCCTAGCCTTCTGCACTCTCTCCCTATTTCCGGTTAATCACACTTGCTTTAAAAATGCCCTGTTAGTGGGTGGTCAGGGTTAGCATAAGTCCTTTGTGCTGTTGTTCTTTATTCTCGCAACACACCCTTCTAGAGCAGTGGTTTCCAACCTTGGGTCCCCAGATGTTCTTGGACTAAAACTCCCAGAAGCTTTTTCACCACGAGCTGGGCAAGATTCCTGGGAGTTTTAGCCCACGAGCACCTGGGGACTGAAGGTCGGGGAAACACTGTTCTAGACAGGGCGTTCCAGGTGTTTTGGACTATAGTTCCAAGAAGCTCCAACCAGACAGATCAACAGCAAGCAACCACTGAAGCTTCAGTCTTAAAAAAAACAGCCAGAAGGGAAAAGAATACCAACTTCTGCTCCAACCCTTTAAACCTCTGAATGGATAGCCAGGTGATAGCGGCTTCTCTCACATGCATATATGCACATGGGAATGCTGTGGCTCCCTGCCGGTGCGCTGCCTGTTGTTTCATACCCCGTGGCTGCTCAAGTCTGTTTTGAGCAGTCACTTCATGTTTGGAAAGATATAATGATATTCACCCTCTCCCCACAAAAATTCTTTTTTGATTTTTTTTTTAAAAAAGCAGGGATGGAGACACAACAGAGAGTGCAAGGCGGGTAAAGCCACCATCCAGGTACAGAAGGGCAGAAGGCAATGGTTCAGGAGGAGAGTCTCTCCCTGGGAAGGAGAGAAGAGCCTTCCCCAACCTGGAAGTCTCCAGATGCATCAAACTACAACTCCCAGAATTCCATTGCTGCAGGACCTCAGAGAGACTGTTCTACCCTTCAGGAGATCCCTGCTCGTAAGGAGTCCTTTGCTCACGAGGAGCCTTCCTCTGCATGCAGGCCCTTCCTTCATGTTGCCACTTAAGCTTTTAGATTTGAATGCTCATGGCCTGTAAGGTGGCCCAGCTTCCCGCATGGATTCCAGGGCAGAGCTGTCTGCATCTTTGGGTGTGCATGTGGTGTGTGTGTGTGTGTGTGCACGCATGCGTGCATGCACCATTCGCTGCCCCAGGGATTCTTCATCTACCAACCGTCTAGAGGTCCCCCTGCTCTGTTTGAGGCGTCCTCTAAGAATATCAAAGCCGTACTACTACGACCAAGGGCAAGGGCAGTCCATAAACAGTCTAAGCATAAAGCATAAACGTCACTATTTCCAGATACGAGCAGCTTGGTTTGTATTTGTCTTGGCTCGCCCAACGCTGAGAAAAGCCAGAGTATGGGATAATGCACAGGGTGCCGTCTTCCACTGACTGCTCCCTGCAGAATTAAGATTAATTGATAAGATTCTTCGCCAGCTGGTGCCAACATCCCTCCCTAGGGAGATAATCCCAAGCTAAAAATAGGGCGCTCCTCTCAGGGTGGCTTGCCGGATTACAGGACTCTCTCCCAAAGGAAGCTGATTGTGTAGCTGGGCCATCATCACGCCTCTTTCCCAGCGTGAGCTTATGGCGTGATGGGGTTTGATCACCTGCTGCTGCTCCTATACGTGGACAAGTTCTTCCTAAGATGCTGCAATGTCCTTTTTTTCGTGGTGCGTCTGGGATAACCGTATACGGTACGGAACACTTCCTGTCTCAAAAATAATCAGGGCAATGGAATCCGTCCGTCCAGAGGGCCAGGCCACTCGGCCTCCCCAAGAAAAGTGTCAGCGTTTCAAGCCAAAGTCCTCATGACATTTTCTGTGTGCCTTTAGAGCGACGGCATAGCAGGGATATTATATTTCCTTCCCGCAGCCCCCCCCCCAATTGCACAACCAGTCTGTCAACAGGCACACAAAGAGGACGACGCTGGAGTCGGGGACAGGATCGCGCCAAAGCCTTTATGCAACCACATCGGTGAACAGCATTCAGGTCTACGTTGTTTTTAATTCAGACCGGGGGGTGGGGGTAGGGGAAGAGCCAAGGACACACAATAGAATTTTATGCAAGTCTATCAATGAAGCTATTATGTTCTCAACCTCTCTTAGGATGCTGGAACTGTGTGCCTTCAATCCAGTGAAACTGACTGAAGGTGGACAAAATAAAAGGTGGACAAAATAAAAGGACCATGCTGCAGGATTCACCTGTGGAACCCACTGCTACAAGATGTAATGACGGACGGCGCTGACGGGGGACTGGAAAAGAGATAAGGCTGTTGCACACTAGGCTCAGAGGAAAGGTTAGGTTAGGGGTTGGGGATCAATGAGGAGGGGGCACTGCTTTCTCACCTTGCTAGCTGTACCCCATGTATCTGACAGGGATGGGATTCTGAGTGAGGAAGGTGGCCGGCTGGATTGTGCAGGACGATTCCCACATTCTTATTATGGGAAGAACTGCCACCTTTACCAGGACTTTTGAGGACTGATCGTAAGGCGTGCTGAGCGCACCTTGACCGTGAAGGAGCAACATCTCGCCACAAACACAAATCGCAACCGATTAACGTGGGGTGTTAAGGGCAAGAGGGTGACAAGATGCAGTTGTTTGGGAACAGAGCTTCTTTCATGCTTTGCCATTCACAGCCTTTTGATCACCTGCAGTACACAAACTTCCTTCTGCGCTACATATCTAAACCAGGTTTAACGTTATCCGGTTCATTTCCCACCCTCAGCACATCCCCAAGCCACAAACTGACATGCTGAGCTACACCCATGAAAGCTGTGACTCCCGCACAGAGGATGAAGGAGGGTTGTACCAGTTTACATTTACTACTGATGCCACCCTTGCAGGGCAGCTCATTTTCCTCCCTGTTCCTGTCATGATCTCTCTGCTAAATTTCACACGAGTCCTATTTAAACTCGTCTAAAAACCAATGAGACTGACGTCAGTCTGAACAAACTTAAATCCTGTTCATTTCAGTGGGTTTCCTTCTGGGCGAATTCATGTTCGATTCAGCCCTGAAGGATCCCGTGACAATGATGAGGGAGGAAAAATGAACGTACCCTTCTATATAAGACCAACATGGGTTTCCTCTTGCTTGCTCGCAAACACACACAATTCGGGGACGTTCACCATCACCAACCTGCACACGCACGCAGGGGTAGCGCTTGGTGGGGGGAGCTCCAAGTTGTGCAATCAGTGGAAGGAATACATTGCTAATTGACTCCCCCATCAGTGACTATTGCTAATGTACTGTACACAGAGCTCTGTCAATCCAACAGGAGCAGCCTCCAGCCAAATGCTGGGCAAGCCGGTTGCTGGGTTAAAGGACAGCAGGGAAGACACAGAGAAAGCCCATTTTAAGCCACACCCGAGGGAATCTTTAAAGCCCTCTGGGACAGAACCGGGTTTTAAGACTTCGGCTTGGCTTGCGAAGATCAAGAAGCTAGGATTCCTCCTCGATACGTGGTCACTGTCTGGGAACAATGGTTCCTCTGATCACGCACAGAGTACGTTTCCTTTTTTTGGTGCGGATGGAAACCATCTTAAGAGTTAGAGCTAGGTGTGATGGGCAGGAGAGGGGAAGCACTCTGTCCTGTACGAGGAAAGTGTGGGAAGAAGGAATAGTTTAAAATTCTGTGTGCTCTTCTTCTTCTTCCAAATCATGCAATAAATATACTGCAAGAGGGAAGCTGTGTGTTTTATGTAATATAGACCAAATGTCCTTCCCTGTTTCTTTTAAGAGCACACGCATGCACCCCTGAGTCTTTCTGCACCCAGATTCTTGCAGACTGTTCACAGTTATTCCAACTGCTGAAGGTGGAGCTGCCGCTAAACGAACATGGACAAACAGCGCCGCTTCTCTGAAGGGAAGAAAATGCCACAGCAAAAGAGGAGCAGGGATGGGGGACAGGAAAGGGGGTGTTTTTCCCCCATGAAGGCATGAAAGGCTTTGGCTAGAAGAACATTCCAGGACGTGACGGCTTGCTAGGCCACTGTCACTTTGCAGGGCGGGAAGGCATCTGGAGAGGCTTTGGGGCTGAGCTCGCCTCCAAACAGAAATCCAGGGACCCTCCAGCGGCCGGCTTCACCAGAGCAAAATAAGGGAAGCCACTGCCTTTCCTGGCTCCAATCCGCGAGGGTGCAAGGTAGTTTTCTTTCAAGAGCATCCGGGCGGGATCAGCAGACAGTTCTCTTGCCTGACCCTACCGGAGAGGGATGGGAGATGAAGGGGTGGGTGGGAGGTGGTACAGTAAGGGCCATTTTTTTTTCCCAGTGATGGAGAGACGCGTGCCCAAAGCATGAACCGCCCACTAAGGTTCCGCGAAGCGATTCGGAGCCAGTTGCCATGGCGTCTGGGGCCTGTATCTTTCCTCCTCATCAGCCTCCCACCTTCGCCTCTTGTTGCCAGGTTATCGCCAGTTGCCGTGGCAACTGGTGCAGCCGACCAGTTTCCTTTCCTGTGACTCCTTTTTGATTTCTTCCTGCCTCTTCGTGCACACGGGCCATCCCTGATTTTTACCTCCTTACCTGCCTCATCTTCCTGGTTAAATGTCAGAGCCTTTGCCTGCTCTTTTTAATTTCTATAAAAAGGGAGATATTTCACTGCAAGGAATTAGAAAGTGATGGACAGGAAGGATGCTTATTTTAGCCGTACTCGAGAACCTGGGTGTAAAAAGGG